GTTACTTTTTGGGAGAGCATGTTATTTGTACATTTAATTTACATAACAAATTTTATCCCAGGAGAGCTATCAGACAGTCTAGCATATTAAAAACAACTGTGCCTTAAATCTTTTTCCCTTCCAGTTTGCACTCATGAGGTTGGAACACAGGTTATTGTTGTTTGACTAGTCTGCCTATCATAATCATCATAATGCCATCAACTTTAAGTAAATTTCCCACTGTCAATTGTACCCAGAGATTCTCTTTTTAATATGTATGTATCTAGGGCCTTCATTTCCCTAGGGCGGGAAAACGAAGGTCCCAGATACATACATACATGAAGACCTTCATTCTGTCCGATGAAGGTCACATCGACCATACAAAGATTGTTAGGGACCCCTCTCTGTAGAAATCAGTGAAGCCAAGATATAGGTGCTTGAATTCATGGAGACTCAGGGAGGCCCTTGTATTTTAGCTTTTTGGGCAACAGGAAGGGCTGCACTCTGGCCAAACAGGGCATCCTGTTAGATCTTAAAAAGTGGAGACTATTTTGTCCCCAGGTTATAATTTTATTTAATAGTAGTGGAACCTATTGCCCCATTTCTTGTGACTAGCAGCTTTTATTTTTTACCCCCCAGTGAGATAGGCAAATTAATCATCGTGATTAACATGATGTGATGGGCCATACATGAATGTAAAGCACCCCAGATAAGGTTTTTTCAAATGTAAAGGCGACCCTGTGAGGCTAGCATTCTGGTCCACTCCTTTGTCTCCAGAGTCGGGGTGGGGGTGGATGGAAATGGGGGTGGACCCAAGTGACAGTTAACAAAAAATACAGCCAAAGAGACAGTCATGGGCCAAGGCAATAGCTCAGCTTTAGTGAGTGGCCTTCTCCAATCTTCTAGGCTTTGCAGTTTCTCTGTCCTTGGAATTGCAGTCATATCTCCCTGAAATGCCTCCACAGGAGGCTGTGGAAACTCCTCTCTATCCCCATTTGGCTCATTAGGTCGGCCTTCCCCTTGCCACTGTATCTAAAGTAGACCTCAAATTTGTAAGTGTTCATTTAACATTGATATAGCACTTTCGTTTCTTTCTCTCTTTTTTTTTTTTGGTCAAGGGGATTGAACTCAGGGGCACTCTACCACTGAGCCATATCCCCAGCCCTATTTTGTATTTTAGTTACAGACAGGGTCTTGTAAGTTCTTGTAAGTGACAGCACCATCTTAAGGAAAAAGTTTTGATTTCTCACCCAAGAACCTTTCTGAGAAAGGTGAAAAACCAGCCTCTACCTCAGAGCAAAGCCTGTCCAAGGAAGGGACATGACCTTTGTCCTTGGAAAGACCCACAGAGCACTCCTAGGCACATTCCCACCCTGCTAAATTGTTTATCTACAAATAACAGGAGAGATCTGCTGCCCCAGGTGTCCCTGACTCAGTCAGGCTAGGTGGGGATCCATAGCAACCCCCTAGCAGCCACCAATCAGCATGAGACAGGGAAATACCTGGGATGCCAGATGACCCTCCCAGTAGTTTATGGTGGTTGATAACCTATTGGGAAACCATGTAGTTCAGCATGAACACCCCTCTTGGCTTAAACAAATCAGTTCAAATGAATACCCCTTTTGTACTGACCAATCACCCTTACCCAACTTGTTCCCGCCAGTGAATGTGCTCATCATGTTTTAGAGTTGTTATTTGATTTTCCCGTGGTGTGTGATGATTTGCTAAGAGATGCTATGATGTATGTGGGGGTCCCTGCCTTCTCCAAAGAATGTATAAAACTACTGCAAACCCTGGGCTTGGGGCCTGTCAGCATCACCAGTTGCTGTGTGTGCGCGGAGGACCAAGCTAGCTCGCAATAAACACCTCTTTGCTGTTTACATCGATCTTGGTCTCTGGTGGTCTTTTGGGGGTCCCGAATTCAAGCATAACAAAGGACCATACCAACCCCATCCTTAACTGCCCACATTAGGACCTGCCCTGCTCTAATCCCTGAACCTGCCCCATAAGAGTTGAGGAACTCAAGCCTGTATTGCCTATCTCCATCTATGGAGAGATGGCCTTTATTTGTTAGCTCTGACAAATAAACTTTCCTGTGCATCTCTGCCTGGTGTCTGTGTTTCATTTCTCGCTTGCCCGTTTTCTGGTCCTCGCTTTCCTTTGAGTCTTACTGAGTTACTTAGTAACTTGGTGTTGCTGAGGCTGGCTCTGAACTGGTGATCCTCCTGCCTCAGCCTCACAAGCTGCTGGGATTACAGACATGCACCACCACCAAGCCTGATCCAGCACTTTCCATGTGCCAGGTAAGCTTCAAAGCTCTTTTAAAAATATTAATTCATGAGGCTGGGGTGGTGGCTCAGTGGTAGAGCGCCTGCCTAGCATGTGTGAGGCACTGGGTTCGATTCTCAGCACCACATATAAGTAAATTAAAAAATAAGGGTCCATTGGCAACTAAAAATAAAAAATATTAAAAAAAATACTAATTCACCTCAGCAATTTAGCGAAGCCCTAGCAACTTAATGAGACCCTATCTCTAAATAAAATACAAAAAAGGCCTGGGGATGTGGCTCAGTGGTTAAGTGCCCCTGAGTTCAAAACCCCCAGCCCCCTCCAAATAATTAAATTCTCATATAGCCCTACAAGGAAAGTACTATAATTTCTCCCATTTTACAGGTAAGGATACCGAGACAACAAGATAAAGTAACATGCTGAATGTCACACAGCTAGTAAGTACACATGGAAGCTCAGACAGGCCTTGCACTTTGCCATTATATTAAAATGCTTTTTCTTTTAACCAAGTGCGGCTAAGACTCACCATTGATTTCACAACTCACTGTCATTACTGCCACCTCTCATTTAAGAGTCTTGAAACTTTCTCTATTTTGCTTACCAGTGTACCCTTCAGCACTCTCACTTTGCCAGACACCAAGAAGGCTCTTAATACACAGTTGATGAAAGAGATTCGCACCTAACAAAAATATCTGAAAGGGGCTGGGGGTGTGGCTCAAGCGGTAGCGCGCTCGCCTGGCATGCGTGCGGCCCGGGTTCGATCCTCAGCACCACATACAAAGATGTTGTGTCCGCCAAATACTAAAAAAAAATAAATATTAAAAAATTCTCTCTCTCTCTACCTCTATCTCTCTCACTCTCTCTTTAAAAAAAAAAAAAATATCTGAAAGCCCCTGGAAACCGGAGACTTGCCTGGTTCAGAGCTTCGCAAATGGTAATAAGTAGCACTTCTAGGTGATTTACTTTATTCTTCAGTGACAAAGATGACAAGAGATCACAGGGTTGTTTGGTTTTATATTTCCTTATTCTTTCATTTGTCCCGTCCAGCAGGACACATCAACGTGGGCAGCGAACCTAGATGGGGAGGAATGAAGGGACAAGAGACACGGAAGGTGACAGCAAGACAAAAATTCTGATCAAGCTGCAAACTTTTATTTTTCACACAGGGGTATTTATATGCTGGGGATGGGGAAGCTCTCTAATCAACAATTGCTGGATGTGGGTGGTAAAACTGCCAGCTGCAAGATGTCTGAAGATCCTGATAACCGCAGGATGTTCCAGGGAGATAGGTAGCTGCAGGATGCCTCCCAGGCAGGATGTCTCCCAGGGGGCTGTCAGGCTAATCTTTGAAGGAGAATTTCCTTCTAGTCCCTGACATTCATTAATTTAAAAATACTTAACATTTACGAGTCTCAAGTTAAAATACATAAGATGCAAACTGCAGAAGAGTAGTAAAGGTAGTGATACCTTTGCTGAGTTACCTTTGCTGATTACCAATGCTGAGTTCTGTTTTCCCAGACGCACTTGACTTGGTCCAGGAGATGCCTTGGGATGGCCAAAAGCTGAGAAGTAAATGTACAAGGGAGAATGGCCAAAGGTGGAGTGATCCAGGCAGGAAGGAGCAGCCCAGAAGGCATTCTTTAACAACTTTTACAATTCCCTTCAGGAAGGAACAATTCCTGCAACAGGTTACCTTAGCTACAGGTTGGAGCAGGAGAAAGTTATCTTGGTAAAGGTAGAGGAAGGACTCTGCAGGCATTAACATTTCAATGCCCCAGAGGCAGCCTTCAACTTCCCAGACCCAAACCATTCTCTGTCTGATTACCTATCTATATTGACTGCCTGTCTTTAACCTTGCTTCAATGGAGTCCCATTATGCAAACAATATTTACTAAGTAGTAAATCTGGAGTAAGCCTTTTTATTTCTATATTGCTTTTATTAATATATTTTCCGTGCTGGAGATTGAACCTAGGCTTCAAGCATGCTAGGGTAGCACTTCCCCTGAACTACATCCCCAGTCTTTCTAAAATTTTGAGACAGGTTCTTGCTACGTCGCCCAGGCTGATCTGGAACTTTGGATCCTCCTGCCAAAGCCTTGGAGTCGCTGGGATTACAGACATGCACCAGGGCGTTCAGCTAAAGGCGTTTATCCGGTTGAAGGCTGATAATCTTCTGGTAACTTCCCAAAGAATGAACTATGTTCTGTCTTAATTTCTTTTCTTTGGTGGTGGTGGTGGTGGGGGAATACCGGGATACTGGGGACTGAACTCAGGGCACTCAACCACTGAGCCACCTCCCCAGCCCTATTTTGTATTTTATTTAGAGACAGAGGCTCACTGAGTTGCTTAGCGCCTCGTGGTTGCTGAGGCTGGTTCTGAACTCGCGATCCTCCTGCCTCAGCCTCCCAAATTGCTGGGATTACAGACGTGCGCCACCGCGCCGGGCCTGACTTCATCTCGTTGCTGAGGTTCCTAAAATATCGACAGCAGTGAGCACTGGAAGCTTTTCTCCAGCGCAATTCAACATGCCAGGTCAAGCACCCGGACCGCAACCGGACCCAGGAATTTCGGGCTGGCGCACAAGCGCCCGACGCCCGGCCTGACGCCTACCACAGCCCGCGGTTAACAAGCCCAGCAAGTCCAAGCGCCGGGACTGCTAGTTCGGCTTTGCCTGGAGGCGGAAGTGAGGGCGGGGCTTGTTTGGGACCCGCCCCGGAAGTGGGTGGAACGTCGCACACCCGAGTCGGGTCGCGGCCGAGGCCGGTCCTGGCTTTGTAGCTCGCTCAAGATGGCGGCGCAGCCACCCAGCGGGATCCGCCTCAGCGCGGTGAGCAGCCGCGAGGGGTGGAGCGGGCCGTGTCCCAGGAGGGCGGGCAGGCGGGCAAGCGAGGGGGGGCCGGCAGTGGGCGGTGGCGACTCGAGGGCCCGGCGCGGCGGCCGGGGCCGCGGCGGGGCTGGGGAAGGGGTCGCCATCTCGCTTTGCGCGGAGCGGCTCGGAGGCGGGCTGGGCTGCATCCCTGGCCTCCGTCCCTGGCCTCCGCGCGGGCTTTCGTTTTGCCCTCGCGGCCCCTCCTCTTGTCCATTCTCCGCCGCCTAGCAGCTGTCGTCGGAGGGCGAGGCCCCTTCTCAGCGGCGGGCGGCGGGGCGGGAACGCAGTCCGCAGCAGGGACGCCGGGCCCGGGCGGGCCGCGGGACTCCGCGGGCAGAGCCGGGCCAGCCTTGGGCCCTTTGCGGGTCCTGCGCCTCCCTGGCACCGAGGCCCCGGCTCTGGGTCACTGGGCTCTCCTCTTGCCCTTCGGACGCTCTGTTTCGGGTCCCTGGGAGCTCTTGGAAATCCTTCTAGCATTTCTAGTATCTGGAACCTTAGGGAGTGGTCCCACGGATTTAGAATGTCACGATCTGAAAATGTGGGTGTGGCTTTCTCACCTGATTATCCAGGAAAAGTTTATTTGACACTATTGGCATTCTTAGGTAAAAATGTATCTGCTGGCACTGAAATGCTGCGTGTTTGACATTTGTTTCATTCATTTAGCCTGACACGGACCAACACCTGGTAGAGTTCCAATTTAACATTTCCCCAATCCTGTGTGTTAAAAATCTGGTTTCATTCCCTTGATTATTTGTGAAGTTGATCATTTTTTTCGCATTATTATTGTTTTGAACTCCCTGTTTAAATCATTTGCCCATTTTTCTAAATTCCTTTTTCTTGGGTTTGAGGGCGGGATCTTTATTGATTTATGAGAGTTGTTTACACATTCCGGAAAAAGGTTCTTTGGTTACATAACTGGCTTATTGAAAGAGGTAGTCTTTAGTAGTTGGGAGTATAGAGATCAGCTTTATTATTACTGCCTTTAAATTTTATTAATTTCTTCCTCTCACCTGTGTGCATCTGGGCACTCTAACGTTTTCCTTGGCTTCAGATATGAGTCTGATCATGTCCAGTTTAAAATACCTATTCAGAGCTGTGGGGGGTGTGAGGCCCTAGATTCAGTCCCTAACACCAGAAATAATAAATAAAAATGAAATTTCTAATTTTAGCTTGGTGTGGTGGCGCAGGCCTGTAATCCCAGCAATTCTGGAGGCTGAGACAGGAGGATCACAAATTTGAGGCCAGCCACAGCAATTTAGTGAGGTCCTCAGCAATTTTAGGAGACCCTGTATCAAAAGACGACTTTTTAAAAGTTTTGCAGAACATGACCAGTTTGAGTCATTTTCAGTCAAGCCCAGAAACCTGTAGTGCACAATAGGAGTGACTTGGTTTTTTAACTGGTTCTGCAATTTGGTTGTTTTATCTTCCTGGCCTCCTTGCACTTGCTGTCTCTGCCTCTTTAAGATTGAAGTGGGAAGCCTGATGTGGCACTGGCCTGTTAATCTCGGCTATTCTGGAAATTGAAGCAGGAGGATTGTAAATTTGAGGCCAGTTTGGGCAATTTATCAAGATCCTGTTTCAAAATAGAAGTTATACCCCAACCCCCAAATATTTAAGTGAGAAATCAAACAAAATCAAGGGTCAAAACTGTCTAAATTGTGCTTCGGCTAGCATGCTTGAGGCCTTGGGTTCCATGCTCATTACTGCAACACAAAACAAACAAAACAGTCTTCAAGAAGGCAGTTTCCGGCTGGAGTTGTGGCTCAATGATAGAGCACTTGCCTAGCATGTGTGAGGCACTGGGTTCAATTCTCAGCATTGCATATAAATAAATAAAATGAAGGTACATCAACAACTAAAAAAAAAAAAATTTAAAAAAAAGAAAGAAAGCAGTTTTGTTAGCTGGCTGGCTCCATGCAGCAGCTGTCAGTGTGCTAGGTCTTTCTTTTGTGGGTAATATGATCTGTTTGGAACCTAATTGACAAGAGGTTTCCCATCTGCAGCTTCTGGACAGTATCTCTACCAGTCTCTGCTTTTGCTTCAGGATAGGAGTTGGCAAGCTTGTGGGCCAAATCAGCGTAGCACCTGTTTTTGTATAGCATGTGAGATCAGGACAATTTATACAGTTGTAAATGATTGGGGGAAAAAAATCAAAGAATATTTTGTGACATAACAAAAATTATATGAAATACAGTTTCAGTTTGCATAGTTTTATTGGAGCACACCCATACCCATTCATTTGCCTACAGCTGTCAGATGCTTCTATTAAGAGAGGGTATAAAAATTAATGAGCTTTTGCATTTGTCAGAAACCATAGAATTTGGGCTGGGGTTGTGGCTCAGCAGTAGCACACTTGCCTGGCATGTGTGAGGCACTGGGTCCGGTTCTCAGCGCCATGTATAAATAAATAAAAGTCTATCAATAACTAAAAAAAAAAATTAAAAAATTAAAAAAAATGTTTAATAAAAACCATAGAATTCAAGTGTCAAAGGGAACCTCCTTAGTATGTACAAATTTTAATCAGGAAAAGATCTCTCTCTTTCTCTCTCTGCTGTGCTGGAGATGGGTGGAATGCAGGGCCCTGGATACCATAGGCAAATGCTATTAACACTAAGCTACATCCACAGCCCACTATATATTAATTTTAAAAAAAATTAGTTAGGAAGTCCGAGATCCAAAGTGACAAGACTTTAAAAATATTTGTGCTTTTTTTTTTTTTTCTCTCTCTCTCCTTTTTTAAGTAAAATGCTTACACCATTTCTTTGTTGTTGATTCCTCACACCCTTTCAGAAATCCTCTCTGGGTTTAGCCTACACAAGCACTCTTCACTGCCTCCTCTTCTCCCAATGCATATGTCACTTTTGGGGGTTTCGATTATTAATATGGTTTGTTCTTACTCTTAACTTTATGCTCATGTGCCAGTGTACTATAATTGCATTTTCTTTTCTATATGGCTTTTTATTTTCCCTGAAGTTAATAATTAACTTACATTTTATTTGCTTTATTTCTTTGTGCTGATCACTCAGTAATCCAGATTTTCAGAGGAACTGGGAAATCTTTTCCAGATGTGTTCAGATACACCCAATATTTTGTCAGTTTGTTACTGGAGTCTGGCCAGAGGCCCAGCTATAGGGACCCCAACAAAGCAGGTGGGGCAAATGGAAAAAGTAATTGTGCAACAGGAAACCGACTTAATTTCCTTCCATAGGGAAGGAAAGGGGTGCCAGATCTCCTTAGCTTTGGTTTCAGAGGTTCTGAGATGAGCTTTAGGTTTAAGTAGAGGAGGAATTGGGGCAGACAAGAGTTATGCATAATTAAGTAGATTTGGTCAAAATGTGATCTGATTGATCCTTATATCAGTTTTGGTCTCACAATTTATCTTTGTAAAGGAAATTGCCCTTGTTCAGGGGATAATCTCTATTTGCTTTGTAGGATTTTTATCTGTCAGACCTGTGATCCTGGAGAGGGGTCATTTGGTTCCTATAAGATGATTGCTTCTGCTTAGGGGGCAGTCTCATCATGGGGTGATCTGCCTGCAAGGCTCCCAAGTACTAGACATTTCTAGCATTCTGTAGGGGATCTGGAACAGGATGTTGTAAAAGCTGGCAGATGAATGTTCCTGCAAGCGTTGCAGATACCTTAGTTATTCCCATCTTGGCAGCCTTGGTCTTGAAACAGGATGAGACTGGAAGGTAAATTTAGTGCTAATAAACTTTGAATTACCAGTTTTGGGATCTACTTCTTAAGTGATTACGTGTGCAGGTGCAGAGTTGAGTGGGAATCTGTCTCCGCAAAATTTAAGATAAAAAAGGAGACAGATAAAAATTGAAGTCAGAGGGCTGGGGATATAGCTCAGTTGGTAAAGTGCTTCCCTCACATGTACAAAGTTCTGGGTTCAATCCCCAGTACCACACATACACACAAAAAAATGCAGTCAGAGATGTCAAATTTTATTCTGCTTTTAGTTACCAATTGTGAAGGGTAACTACAGGTCCAAGTGAAGAGTCTGCTTTTTTAAAAAATATTTTATTAGTTATTAATGGACCTTTATTTATTTATTTGTTTATATGCGGTGCTGAGAATCGAACCCAGTGCCTCACGCATGCGAGGCAAGCGCGCTAACACTGAGCTTCAATCCCAGGCCCAAGAGTCTGCTTTTTAGGCAGAGGCACCCTCTTTAAGTTCCTGTTACAAGTTGAGAGTCATTGTTGTTTGAGGACTTCCCTTTAATGTTTTTCTCAAATTCCTTCTCCTTTTTCTGTCTCTCCATCCCAGATATTTTTCTTTTGGGATTTACTCTTTGCAAGCATTATAGTTTAGTGACTGACAACACAGGCTCTGGAGCCTGCCCTCCTGGGTTCAGATTCTGATTGATAGGTAACTGGATGTCACCTAACTTTTTTTGGTACAGGGATTAAGCCCAGGGTGCTTTACTACTGAGTCACATCCCCAACCCTTTTTATTTTTATTTTGAGACAGGGTCCCACTACGTTGCTTAGGGCCACACTAAATTGCTGAGGATGGACTTGAACTTGCAGTCCTCCTCTTCAGCCTACTGCGTTGCTGGGATTACAGGCATATGCCACCGTGCCTGGCCTATTGCCGGATATATTAACTGTAACGTTTTAGAGATTTTCTTTTGCATACTGCATTGTCTTTATTTATTTTTTGTTTCTTTTCCTGTGTATTTTTGGTTTCTAATTTTATGCATTTTCAGATGTGTGGAGATAGTTAGCTTTCAGTTTACATTTTCAAGTGAGATACTAAAAGCTGTTAGATGTTCCTGCGTGAGTAGGGCTAGTCCTACTGATGGGCTTCACTATTGGGTTAATCAAGTAGGAAACAGCCATTTTATTGAGACCACTGCACATAAGTATGTGGTAGACCCTAAAGAATGGGAAAGTCTGTTTAAAACAACCAAAAGAATTGAATTTTTTTAAAAAATGAGAACAACAAAA